AAAAAATAGTGTTCCCATGATCCACTTTTTAAAATCTGAGAGCCTTTCTTTCTTTCTTTCTTTCTCTCTCTCTTTCTTTCTTTCTTTTTTCTTTCTCTCTCTCTCTCTTTCTTTCTCTCTTTTTCTTTTTTTCTTTCTCTCTTTCTTTTTTCTTTTTCTTTCTTTTTTTCTTTTTTTCTTTCTTTCTTTCTCTCTCGCTTTCTCTTTCTTTTTTCTTTCTCTTTCTTTTTCTTTCTTTTTTCTTTCTCTCTTTTTTTCTTTCTCTTTCTTTCTTTTTTCTTTCTCTCTCTCTCTCTTTCTTTCTCTCTTTTTCTTTTTTTCTTTCTCTCTTTCTTTTTTCTTTTTCTTTCTTTTTTTCTTTTTTTCTTTCTTTCTTTCTCTCTCGCTTTCTCTTTCTTTTTTCTTTCTCTTTCTCTTTCTTTCTTTTTTCTTTCTCTCTTTTTTCTTTCTCTTTCTTTCTTTTTTCTTTCTCTCTTTTTTTCTTTCTTTTTCTTTTTCTTTCTTTTTTTCTTTCTCTTTCTTTCTTTCCTTTCTTTCTTTCTTTCTTTCTCTCTCTCTCTTTTTCTTTCTTTCTTTCTTTCTTTCTTTCTTTCTTTCTTTCTTTCTTCCTTTCTTCCTTCCTTCTTCTTTCTGCTTGCCCAGCTTCAGGTGTGTGAATCCAGAGTCTTGGCCTCCTCCCAGCATCTCGTAAGATGAAAGTTTATTGCTATTTTCTCCTCCGAACCAGGAGTGCGATAAAGGCAATTATGAGAAGGGTTGGGCAGAGCACATTGAAGGGGTCAGCAAGGTCTGGATTCCTGCCAGTCACCCTTGTTATATTTAATGCTACTTGGCCGAGAGGGCAGCCATGTTGACTTCGCAATAACTGGGAAATTTCCACTGGGTACATGAGGCGGGCATCATGCCCTTGGTATTTACGGCCATGTAGAAGACTGATGCCAGAGGAGACGCATGGAAAGCGAGAAGGGAATAATTATCTCACCTTCTTTTATTTAACTTCATTTTCCATGCTTCCAATGACTTCATCTCCCTTCTCTGAGCTTCATCAGATGTTTTAAGATCCCACCAATCTCTACCTTTTTTATTACTAATAGTTGCAATAACTGCAAATCGTCTCCAAGGCCCTTTATTACAAATGCAGATGTTTGTTTATCCCATTGGCATTCACAGCTTGGAAACCTGAGAACAGACACCAGGAGGGCAGGTATAATCTCTGCGCATATAATCTCTTTTCTCAAAAGCAGACCCTCTGCTATTTTCTCCCCTTGCAACAGTCTGTAAGGCAGAAGTGGGATTTGAACCCTGGTCCCCCCCCAGGCCCTTTGCAGGGGGGTCTTAGCAGGGACTGAAAGCTGTTTGCATGGGAAAAGAGGACTCTGCCCTTCGAACCCAGCAGGGGTATCGAGAACAGAATCAGTCAAATTACGCAAGCCTTTTAAGAAGGAAGATATTATAAAGACTGGTGGGACTGTGATCTGCTTGGAAAGTTGAATTGAATTGAATTTATTATTATATTTCTATGCCGCCCTTTTCCCCGAAGGGGACTCAGGGCGGCTCACAACCCAAGTCAAGGGGGTGTGTGTACAAATAAGGGGCCTTGGAGACGATTTGCAGTTATTGCAACTATTAGTAATAAAAAAGGTAGAGATTGGTGGGATCTTAAAACA